CTTTGCAGAAGTCTTTTGGTGGTGACCTTGCCCACTCTTCGGGTTCCATACCTAAGCACTTCCTTCCTAAACCCTCAGATGTTTTTTGTCCACTGCAGCAGCAGTAAAAAAAAAAAATCATTTGCTAGCAATGTTGGTGGGTTATCCTGGATGCCCTGATGGAATGATAAGCTTTTGCATAATGGTTATGCCTTATTTGATAATACAGTTTTCTCTATCACGTTTTTCTAAAATATCACTAATACTCAGTGGTCATTGTGCTAATTTGGGAACTCTTTAAATTGCCATATTTGTAGTATTTGGAAAAACAACAACTTATTTGTGCAACAAATTACATATTTTCAGAAGCTTCCAAATGTGATTGGCACTAGAAGAAGAAAAAGTTGGGGCTAAGGCCATTTTTGGTACCTCAAAATTATATAGTATTAATATCTTAACAACTAAGGAGGGTGTGTTTGGATGCATGCATGTGCTCACCCACTATTAGTTGTTTTGTGCCTTCAAGTTATTCCAGACTTATGGGGCCCAAAGGTGAATCTGTTACATGGTTTTCTTGGCAAGATTGGTTTAGTGGAGGTTTGACTTGGCAACTGAATCTGCTTGGAACATACCAGAATTGGCTATGTAAGCGAAGCAGTATAATTAAATTGGGCTGTGGGACTCAGTGTGATGACTTAATTCTGAGAGGATGAAACTGAAGTATCAGAACTTCTCTTGAAGTGTATTTTAATTCATAAGGCTGAGAATGACCAAATGGCTAGAAAGCTGCTCTCCTCTTGAATATAATCATGGAAATAAGAACCTTTCTCAAAGAACTCTGAGACTAACAAGTTTATTGATTATGCATAGACTGCCCCATTTACAGAGAATACCTGCAGAATCTCCAAAAAGCATTTGACTTGCTTTGTTGTAGTGTTTTAATAGTAGTACTACTACTAGTAGTAGTAATAATAATAATTTTCTCTCTCTCTCTCTCTCTCTCTCTCTATATATATATATATATATATATATGCACCATATTTCTATAAAATATGTATTAAATGCACAATGCCGAGATTAAAACACAGGACACACGTTTAAAATTGATGTAAATACTTAGTAAATACAATCCATAGTAATATGTACATGAACATTAAACCTCTTATTTCTTTTGATACTTCTCCAGTACCCTAATATAGTTGACTTAATTAATGCTATAGAAGTTTTCAGTAAAATAGAGGAGGGAAATCTCTGACCCAGAGGACTAATCCAGGCCAACAGGGGCTGTATCTGGTATTGAGCATAAAATACCAACATCAAGAAAAATGCTAGAATACAAGTAAAAATACTGGTTTAAGTAAAGCGGGAATTACATGTTACCTTTGCATCATTTCATTACGGATATCTAGGGGAGCCCAAATCCATATTATCATCTTTGAAGAATTAGGAAAGTTAATTATTAAAATTTTGACTAGCTATTTGATAGATATTTTCTCATGAATAAATCTCTAAATCTGTGCTCTGTATGTTTGCATCCCATAACTTATATTCATTTGAGCTTCTCATAGAAATGTCACAGGCTGTAATTTTTTCTTTTAATGGCCTTCTGGCCCATTTCCAGATATACTTCTAGCAGCTGCTGATGAAGTAGGCTCCAGTCCACAAAAGCTTTTGTCTCAATAAATCTGTTAGTCCTTAAGGTGCCATAAGATGGTGATATTTTTGCATTTAGCACTGCTTAAATCTTATACAGTATTTCCAGTAATAGTGTTGTTTATCAATCAAGTAAGATACTTTTTGTTGGAAATGTTTTTGAAAAGTTGGTGCATTTTTTATAGTTTGCTAACACAAAATTTAGTCAGTTGTTACAACTGATTTTGAGAAAGGTACCGAACATCCCGCTATCCATATGCTATGACTTTACCTGTATAATTATTTTTTTAAATAATTGTATGTAAGATTTCTTACAAATGTACAGACTTTTAAAGCACCAGTCTTCACATATAGAAATTGGTATAATATTGGTATGAGTGTTTGTGTGATTGGATTGATTTGAATGTTGAACTAAGACTTCTGGAGACTAGCATCTGAATCAATAGTTAGCCATGGAAATCTGCTGGGTGATTTCGTGGGTCATGCTTGTTCATTTCGATGACAATGGAAAATGCTCTCTGAATGAAGCTTCTAAAACAGTGCTTCCTAACCTGTGGTCCATGGACCACCAGTGGTCCAAAAGAACGAAAATATGGTCTGCAGCCTCACCATTACTACCCCATTGTCTTGAAACCATATGGCAACGAGAGCAATTGGTCTTGTGTAACCCTCTTATAGTGCCAAGGCAATAGGGATGTTGGGAGGGGAAAGATTGCTACTACCATATCAGCTCTAGATTATAAAATAAGGTTTTCTGTGGGCGAGCAGCTGACGACTTCTTGATGGCATATATTCTGTATCGGAAACTAAAGCCGATGCGGTCTATCCAATGCAGTTTTCTGAATCAGCACCCCAAATAACCAAACTGAATCTAAAGTTGACCAAAAACTGATTTGTAACCCTTTTGGTACTAATGCTGGAGAGTGGTCCCTGGTCAAAAAAAGGTTGGGAACCACTGTTATCACTAGCCAAAGAATAGCATTTCACTTTCAGACATTTCTGTAGAGTGACCAAAGCACTTAACCTTGCTCTTGATTTTGTGCATCTTGTGTGCTGCATTTATGATCTGCTATCATGGTGGGTTCAAGAACAAATAAAACTATACACGTAACATGCCTGATTTTTAATCAGATCAGTAGTGCTTCTTTTTCATGAGTTTTAAGTGCTTGTCTCTATGTGTCTCTGTCTCCCTCTCCTTCTCTCCTTCCCAGTCTTTCCTGCTCTTGCTTCTGCTAAAACGGATTTGTTTTGGATGCTTCATCTGAATCACAAATATTTGTTATGCAGCAGAGCATAGAGTGTTAGCATAGATGCTTTTATGAAACCGGTATTAGTCGATCGCACAGGTTTTTGTGTTACTGTCTTCTTAACTTATGCTGTCTTGAACTTTTACTCAGAGAGTTGATTTTTTGTTTTGCATTTTGGGTACATGAATTTTCTTAGCTGTAGATAGAAGCATGTGATGTAATTAGTAATTCAGGATGTCTCATTGAAAAGGGAAATGGCATCTCATGGTCTTTCAGTAGCTATCTTTACTAGTGTAAATACATTTGTGTGTAAGAATAAAAAAATCATGGCTAACCTGTGTATATGTAACCTCTTCTGGAGGCATCTGGCATCTAAAGTTGGGTTAAGTGAAGCCAGGTTAACTGGAAGAGGAAATCTGGGTTCTCCTCTTCAAAGCAATGGATTTCATTTAGTGGGGGATGCAAAAGCCACCTGTCCATTCTGTCAGCAGACAGTGTACTAGTCATAATGCAGCAACAGAAGCCTAGAAAGCAAGACGAGGCAGTTTACTTTAAGAATCTTTTGTGTATTTGTGTTGTACTCATGTCCTCTTTCTTTCTGCGCATACACAACTGATAATAAATTAGGACAGAAGTGTTTGTATTTAGAATACTGATATCAGTATACTTACAATCATTCCTGTTCTAGAAATGATCATGAACATCAGTTAATGGAGGTGAATATGCATTGGAGAATTAAAAATGTACCAACAACCACCCCAATTATCACTATTTGTTTGTGTCTCTTTTATAGTTGGAAAACTGTAAGCTTGAAATATTATTGAATGTTCTCTTGCTATGTACATTTACTACTGCTGGTCAAAAAGGGACAGGTTGTTTTCATTAAAGAATTCTCTGACACAAATGCCCTGATTGGCATTTACTGTACTTTTCTCTGCCTTTTGACCCTACAAAGGTTCCAGAACACAAAAAAAAAAATGTCTGGAAATTAGCAACAGTATTCTGGATTGTATTTTCAAAGGAACATTGCCATGACATCTATATGGACCATGAGTAGGTGTATTCTTTGACCCTTTAAGTAAATTACACAGCTCTGAAGTGGTGCTGATATTTATTGATTAATTTATTTAATATCCTGCCCTTTTCCTGGTATGGACTTCAAGTCATCATACAATAGTTTAAAACGAAATGCAGTTTAAAAAAAGAATACACAGCCAGCCAGTGTTCAGTGTCTGATTATGATTTTCAAGGTCTAACCAATGAGGAGGGCCTATGATCTGTTAATATCGTCTGTATTGTCCATTCTGTCAGTTTGAGTAAAATCCAGCAGGCAGGACATCCAGACATATAGAATTTTCGCAAATAGATTAAAGCATGCAGATTTATTTTACAGAACTTCTTCCTCAACTTTCCCAAACTTTGTGTCATCTGGAAACTATAAAGCACAATTTGCAATCAGCTAGTGAGTGAATAGGCTTTTATTTCATTTTGTTTTGCGACAAGATTGTGGTGATGCTTTCAACAGTAACAGTAGTGTGCAACAAAACTACATATCATTTATGAATGATGACCTTTATGCTACTCCTCCATGTTCAGGGTACAAGTGAGAAGCTCTGATTTCACTGAGCTGTTTTAGGTTCTATCACTCAAAGTCCTTTGTGTTTCCTACCAGGAGATTCCCCCAATACTGCTTATGAAAACTGAGTGTCCGCCCCGCCCCCCCACCCCCCAAGATTTTATTGTGTGTGTGAGATGCCATTTTATTACCTAAGCATCTACAGATGAAAGATTGATAGCTTAACTAACAGTCCAAGTCAGATTCAAAAGAGACAGAAACTCAGTTTTTCCAAACCTGCACATAGTTCTGATAAGTGTGTCCACAATGGAATAACAGGTGTATATTCAGTGTCCACGGGATGAATGTTTGAGAATGGTGGAACATTCTAGAAGAGGGCATGTGAAGCATTATGTAAATTTTTCCTATATCTCAACAGCAAGTTTCACAAGAGTCTTCAATTATAACTATTTGATTTTTTAAATAAGTATTAACTTGAAATCTGTTTTCTTTAAGAATGTTAATGCTATCTATCTATTGCCATTTATCTTTGCCTATTTTTGTAGAGGATGTGCTGAGCAAAGATGCTGGGGAGTGTGCAATATGTCTGGAAGAGCTGCAGCAAGGGGATACAATAGCACGATTGCCTTGTCTATGTATATATCATAAAGGGTAAGTACATGCAAAATATAGTTCAACAGCTTGTTATTGTTCAGCTACTTTCCCAACCACACAAGTAGAGTTCTGTCGATACAGCAAGGACTTTCCTTCCTCTCATCCTCCCAATACTACTATCACATCAGTATATTTAATTTTCTAGTTTATTTTTCTGTTTTTCTTGAGCTTTTTTGCCATTAAAATTATTCTCAATTTGTTGGTTTTTTCTGTGAAATGCATTTATCTTCCCACATAATGTATTATTTTCTTGTTCCCAAATATTGGGAACATTCTAGAATAGAGGCTCTCAAACTTTTTAAGCAGAGTTAATTAGGATTGTTGTTGTGTTACCTGCAGGTAGTTTCAGACTCAGGGAGACTGAGTCTAAAGTTTAGGGCAGGAACCAGGTAAATGACCTTGGGGGACCACATCCAGCCCATGGGCCCTTAATTTGAGAACCTCTGTTCTAGAACTTTAACCATTAGACAGCCATCCTCTCTCTCTACTCTGTTCCATTTTTTATAAAATCTGTGTGGTGTGGTTTGACGATGAAGCAAGTACTTTCCCATTCTGCACTCAAGATACATTTTCTGTAGTATTCATTACAAGCATTACAAACATTTGCATTTTGTCTGTTGACTTTAAACAAGAAGCCCTGAAATGGTTTATTTTAAAGTCGTTTTTATTTTTGTGCATTGGATGTTTGGGAATGTTTTGTGTTTCTCCATTGTATGAACAGCAAAGAAGACAATCTGTACTTCTGTTAGTGATTTCCTAAAATTATATTGTATTGAGGAAAATGGCTTCTTTTCATAGGGCCTTCAGAAAAGGTGCTTTCACTGAGGATTGGCCATGTTTAAATTAAATATATAAATTTTATTAATTACTCAGTTAAAATAAATTAATGGTAAAATGTTTATTATTGACAACTATTCTTATATTTGGAAAGTGAGAGCAGAAATGTTTTCTTGGTTTTATTGGAACCATCTAAAAAGTAGCATTCTGTTTCTGCCTTAGATTTATTTTTTGCCTTTGTTGTTTTTATTTTCTCTCCTTCTCATAGATGCATAGATGAATGGTTTGAAGTAAACAGATCTTGTCCTGAGCATCCCTCAGATTAATGATAAAGATTCCTGTTTTTGAAGGTAACTGTGGTTCCTTTTTGTTAGTATAACTAAGAAAGTTAAGTTAAATTTAACTATTATGAATCAAAGTTATCTCACTGACCTAATCAGAGAAAAATAGCTTTATAAATAAATAAATAAATGCCCTAAAGATACACAATCCTGTCACAAGTATTAACCAGGATCAGACGTGGTTAATACAGGAAAAAGAGACCACTAATGAATACCATGTAATATAGTTATAGTTTCAGAGGAAGAAACTGGCATCAGAAAAGGATATAAAATTCATAGGGGTGCGACTTAAAGGCATGCACACATTTATTGCTTCTCAGCTGCTCAAGAATATTTTTTAAACTTTAAACGTAAGCTGATAAGAATATTTTTAAGAAGAGACTCGGTTTTGTGGAAAATATGGTTCTAACAAATATCCACATGCAGTTAAATCAGCCAATCAGCCAAAGAAACCACTCCTGGTTTTAAGGACTGTAAGCCATACAAAATAGTAATATGTAGCTTGCTGTCTATGGGTGCATCCTTGAGAGAAGCTACAGAGAAGTTCTTTTCTTATATATCTTGCAAGCACCCCTTTTAAACTATAAGTCCCCATAAAGCATAAGTTGCTTTTTAAGATGTGAACAATGGGTGAGGGAAAGATAGACAAAAACAAGGTTCCCTGTTTCCCCCTACATCACATAGTTAATGAACAAAAGAAGGACCTCCATGCCCCAAAGAGTTGGCATTGCTTTTTGGCTAGATAAGTTGAAGTTGGTCAAGCTGAGCGGTATAGTTGATAGACAGCATATATTTACTGACAAAGTGGTGGTTATAATGGGGAGAGCCCACATTGTTGTCTGTCTTCCCTTTTTTTTCTGTCCTCATAGAACATACAAAGGGCCTTAATTCCCCTTTGCTCTATGTAGCACTGGAGTACCGCCCACTAATGTAAATAAGTAAATGAAAGACAATCCGGGAGGTTCCAAGTTGAAATTGCTTCCTTCATCAAATCCTCAATAAACTGCAACCAGAGAGTAAACAACAAAATAATGGTTATGGCTGTAACCATGTGGCTTTACAGTTGCTTTCTGAATCTTAGAATGCTAAGTGGTTCCCAGAGAAGCACAAATCTCCCTGATTTCCATTCCTACAAATGAGACTGCTGTGTTTTACAGAATGTAATCTCCAACCAAGAAATCTAATTTTCTTTTCTGTCAATTTCTTTGTAGTCTCTTACACTGATCATATGTAAAGGATTTGAAGTTCCATCTTCAGGCGCTAATATGAGAGTGGACCTATGTTCATTTTGGACTGGAAAGGACAAGAGATGGAACATGCCTGGGACAGACAATGCAAAGTTGGAAGTTCAGTGTATCAACACTCACCTAAAGGAGACACAGGGATTCTAAATATGCTGCACATCCCAGAAAAATCCTCTTCCCACAGACTTTACAGACATTGTTTTGTATCTTCAGGCCAAAGTTAATAACTTTCAGTTTAATTTTTTAAAGCTATCTACAGAAGCAGGATTGTGCTCACATCCTTTCTTGAATGGAAAACTGTGTGCTTTAAATCAATCTGGGACATAATACAAGGAAAATGCCATTCTTGGGTTAGACCACCCCACTCCTTTGCTCCCGTGGGCTGTTAGGAAAAGCAGATTATTACATGCAGTCAAATATGGTGAACATTTTCATGAAATTACCCCACCCTGTATGCTGTTCACCTTTTTCTGTGAAAGAATGCAACATTCCTTGACTTAGGAAGTTTTTGTTAAGTAAAGTTTTGTCAAGAGTGCAGCCCAAAGAGCAAAATATAATCAAGTCTGATTGCTAATTGACATTGTTGATCAGGCTATAGAATTATTGAGATCCGCATACTGTGTTCATTTCTGTATACTAAAATTGACTTTTACTGCTTATGGGTATCAGTGCAGCAACAGCAAAATGAAAAAGCATAATCTAGCAGCTATGCAATATTTTTTTAAAATAATTATAGGGAAACTAAAATTACCATCTATCAAAGTGCTGCCAGTTAAGGTAATTTAACGGGTATTTTTTTAATGTTTCAGGTAGTTAATTTCTTGTACTATTTCAATCTCCAGGATTCCCTTGTTTTGCTATATAGTCTCAAAAGCAGGTAATGTCAGACGTTTCATGATGGGTCCTGGGCTGATTTTTCTTTGTGTGTGTATTTTTTGCCATTCCACATGCATAAATGGTCTTAAGGGTGTATAATTGTGGACATAGGATTGAAGAAGCACCTGTATTCTTGATCATTAACAATTTACTACACAACTCTGGCTTGCCCTGAATTGCAAAATTCCAAGTAGGTAGAGAAGAAGCTCACTAAGTAAAATGACAAATTAATAAAATATTTGTTTCCACACACACACAAAAAAGCCAAAACAATGGGGACCTTTTCATGGAAAGCAATTAAAGTATCTTGTGATTTTTGTTTAAAAATGAAATAGTGTTGAATAAAGGTGATGGAAAGTTAAAACATGTTTAAAGAGCAAAAATAAGATTTGTATTACATGATTTCATTTTTCTTAAGGATTTGATTGTGTTTCCCTTAAGAACACATTTTTAAAAATCTGTTGGTTGTTATGTGTGAAGAAGCAAATTTAGGAACTGCTGCTGATACCTTGTGTAAATGCATGTGTGTGGGCATACTTGGTGCCTTGCTTTTCATCCACATTTCTCAAAACCACAAACCAGTGTACAGTCCGCTAGTAATGTCTTACAGCGTAGATATGTCTTCAGTGCTGTAACAAGCAATTGTCTCAGATTTCAGGAAGTATTACACTTTGGTGCAGTGGTTCCCAATTTTTGGTCTTCCAAATGTTTTGGACTTTGTCCCAGAATCCCAAGCCAATAAAACTAATAGGCAGGGATTTTGGGTGGCCAAGTCCAAAATACCTGGAAAACCAAAGGTTGGGAATCACTCTTGTAGTGAACAGAACTAGATGTTCGGAATTCACAGAATCCTTGTCTCCAGTGTGTGAAACGAACAGGTTGGAGAATTTGCAGGTGAGAAGCAATGGGCAGGTATAGAAAGTGCTTGAGTTTCTTCTGTACTGTTTTTCTTTCTGCAATCAGGGAAACTTTAAAAACAATATAAAACTTTTCCCTCTTTTCCCCTCAGTTTTTCCCATTAGAGGATACTGTAGAGAAAGAAAATGTGACTTTTTAAGGCAAAATTTCACTCAAAATGTATATATTTCTGTAAGACAATTTGGAACGGTAGAGAATGATTTCTATGATTCCTAGATACACATGACACTCAGAGGAAATATACATTTCTGCATGTTGTTGGTGCTGCCATTTTAATGAGAGGAGCCCACAGTCTTCAATTTGTTAAAGTCGTTACATGCCTTCTTTTCATGAATAGTGGCTTAGTTTGAATATGGACTGATTGTATTCAAGCTTATTTCTGAATAGGGGTATATCAATCTGAAATGTCAGACCTTTTAAGGGTGCAGTCTTTTGGCTGTACGTTTGAGTGAATATTTATAATATTGCTCATTACAATTAGTAAATAATGACAAATAAATGAATGGAATAAGCTATTACATTTCATGTTGTCAAAGCAGCAGAGAATGTTTAAAGTAATAAGAAACCAATTATGGCTTATTTCAATTTCCCTCACATTCACCCCTCCTTCACAGCTTCAACATTGCTTCACATTTGACAATACAACAATCCCTGCCCCCCTAACCTGGTTTTGCTTTTTTTTTCCTTGGGAAATCTGGCTTCAGAGCCAAGCTCAACAAAACCATCTGGGAAAGGCTTGCAGAGGAAATGCTGTAAACAGGGAAAGATTAAGCATTCACACTCTACTCTGCCAGCCCTGCAAATATTTCCCTTGCCCCTTCTTGCACTTTTGTTTGCTGCCAAAAATCTGCTTCTATCATTTTGCAGGAGAGCAAGGCAGTGACTTCTGATAGTGCAGTTGGCCCTCCACATTTACAGATTTCACTTTTGAGGATTTGATTATTCACTGATTTAGTATGCTCTCTCACGGAATCTTTAGATCCTCCAGTGTGACTCTGTGGTCCATTTCTACCACATGGTTGCACTGGAGAATCTTAACGGTTCCTAGAAAGAACGCTTTTCTTGGCATTTATAGGTCCTCCAGTATGATTCTTTGGTCAACTTCTAGAAGATATTGACTTAGAATTGTGCTGTAGAGATTCTCAGAGAGGTAATTTCTCAGGTTAAAAAAGTTGGTTTTTTAAAAAAAAACCACAAGTTTGCCACTTTTGTAGGGGTCCCTAAATGCAGAGAATGTGGAAGGATGACTGTTTTGAAGAGGGGAGAAGGGAGGGAAAAGCATTGTGTCAAGTCTCATCAGCCTCTAGGAAACTGCAGGAGCATGTTGTGCTCTCTGTGTTTCCCATTGTTTTTCTTTCCTGACAACCCTATCCCCTAGCTTTAAAATTTCTAACTGTAAGTTGTGACAACAGTGAATCATACTATTCAGAGACATTTCTTTCAGCTTGAATTGGAACCTCTGACAGTTTTTAAAGGAGCACTGGGGCTTAAATTAGACTCTGGATTTTTTATGTAAGTTTGTTCTTTCCATTCATTTTCCAAGGAATTGGTAGATACGCCGGGTATTTCTCGATTCCTTACTTGGGAATCATATCTTGAGGGTTTTTTTTCTATTCATTCCAATCCCTTAGCAGAATGGACCCAGTAAGGCAGACTTACGTTCCTGACATGCTCTAATGCACTTCTTAATATCCAGAAATCTCTTTCTGCTTTCCATTTTCCTTACTTGTAGTTGATTTCCTTTGCTGCTTTTGAGATGCATACAGTGTGATTTTCTTGGCATGATACTTCAGCTTGTTTTTTGCTGCAGACATGCCGTATGGAAAGTCCCCATTTTATCGCTGCCAGTGAGGAAATATCAGTGCTCTTCTTTTTGATAGAACAATTTGCTATTTATACCTCTCAGTCCCTTAGTCTCAGACTTTAAGCTCCAAATCTTTCCTCTTTACTTCCATCTCCAGCACACTCTGAGTCTTAACCTACTCTGCTTTTGAGTTGAGCTACAATCTTATTAATCTTAGTTAGCAATTGCCTCTTCAGGCCTGGCCAGAGGGAAACACTTTCTATATGTCTGGCTAACAGTGGCTTTCCTAAGCTGCTTTCTGATCTTGCCCTGTGCAGTGAAAATCAAAAGCATGATTTATTAAGTACTTGCTATGCCTAGGGTGTGTTTAGAGGGAGGTCCACTGCCCGGTTTAACTCAGTGGTTATAGTTAAGCAATGAGATAGTTACTGCTACAAAATTCTCAGGTTTCTGGAATTTTAAATTTTATTTATTTACTTTATTTCTATCCTGCTTTTCTCCCAATATTGGGATTCAAAACATTGCCTACAGTAGGGTGGCAAACTTCCCAGACCTGGTGGATATGCATAGAAGAGCCACTGGTTGCTGTTTGATTGCTTTGGCTACCCAGGTTCAGTTTCCAGTCAATTCAGTTACTGCTGAAATTTGATGGGAGCCGAACTCTCTCTGCAAGGTACAGGAAATTACCAGAGTGCCTCCTGCACTACCCCATTAGTCAGATTGCCAATTTTTTTCAGGAGGGTATACAAAACCATTGTATTTTGAAGGTTTTTTTGCAACAGTGGAAATACTGCCAGCATTAGACAAAGAAAGGACCTTGTGTGGAAAGGTTCACCAAAGGAGTTCCACAGGAAGTCCACCAATTCGTACTCACCCTGGGGGGATGGACAAACATTTTGAATTCAGTGAACACATTCTGTCATGGAAGCAGGGTTGGAGGGACACATGTGGGGCATGGTCAGGACAAATCAAAAAGTGGATGGGGTTATCTTTTCCTTCTTCCCCAACACTACCGTCTCCTACATCCTGCTCTTTGCCACCCCTCTTTCTCTTCCTCTCCCCAATTCTGTTCTTCATTCACTTCACATTATAATGCCATACCATTCATGTTGCAATCAGACAACTCCTCTCATCTATTCATCCATTCTCTCTTCCCTTCACCCACTATCTCACATACCACGTGCACATTCTTTCTCGCACAGTCTCATCTTTTAACCCCATTCATCCCCCACAATGATCTGACAGTCAGTTTGAGGATTTTCCTCCCAAGATGTTTTGGGAACAACAACAACAAGACTCTGGTTTTGCTTGTCTGCTGGCTATTCTTTTTTGATGTCTGGAAGAGTTCATGAAATGGTGGTATAATGAGACCTAGGTGCAATTGGAAGAGCAGACCATTGAGCATTGTTCCAAGAAGGGCACAGTGTGGCTGACTCGCATGGCCAGGGCTCTTTTCTACAGCATTTGCATGAATATCCCGTAAGATGTTCTAGGGCAGAGAGAGAGAGACAGAAAGGCACATTCAAGCCATGGTTTGCCCATCACAGATTCAGTGCCACAGTAATAAAAGCTGTAAAGCAATATTGGTTAAAGTTGCCAGCATGATAAATAATTGTGTGAAAAATGGACTTGACTTTAATAGCTCTTGACTTTAATAGCTCTCTTCTGTGACGCAGTTCAGTTGCCAGAAGATGGTAGCTTCTTACCTGTGGTAAGGTGTGCATTGCCAGTGTCTGCTTATGACAACCAGCAGTTGTTTTTAAGTAGCCATTTTTACATATTTAAAATGTTTGTTTGGCAGGGATTACACTTTGAATTCTGGGCCAAACAAACTCAAATGGGGAGGCCACTTTAATGGGTTGGAATAAATTTTAATTGGTGCTGACACTTATAAACACTTTATTTTCGAAAGTCTTTTTACTGTAGAGTATCATTTTGTTCTTTTCATTCTGGAATGTCTTAAAACATTCAAGCATGGCCATTTCAATATGTGATGAATGTCTTCATTAAATTGTTATATTTTCCTTCAGTTATCTCTAAAAGCAACAACACTGAGTCTTTGCTCACATTAAAATGTATTTAGGTTCCATAGCTGAATCAGACAAAACAACCAAATCACCTTATTAGAGAATGTCTCTAAATTAATTGGAGTGAACCCTAGCTGAATCCATAAATCTCTGCTTACTTATAAAATCATTTTCCTTTTTAAGTGTTGACAAAGTTATGTCTATTTTGGCCACCAATGTTTTTTTTTTAAACTTCACCAGTGCCCCATAACACATGCAAACAATTCCCTAAAGCTGTGTATAGAAAAGTCAGGATTTTTCCTATCTTTTCTGATCTTGTGGGATTTTTTTTTTTGAAACTGTAAGGAAACTACAGATCTACATATGCAGATATTGCAACATGGTTGAAATGTTTGTTTTGGTTTATTACCCACATGCACCCAGACAGTGATTATATTAATTTGGGGGAGGGAGCTAAAATATTAAAGGGCCTATTTTAAAGGAGATAAAGGAGCAATGTTCAGGGCTACTGCCCAACAAATTAAACTTTTCAAAACATTGAAGCTTTTCTCCTGGGTAAAAGTGCTCACTGTCACTCATCTACTCACACCCATCATTTCCAGACAAACTCTGAGCATGCAACAGTTCAGTAAGAAATGCTGTAACATTTGCAGTGCTTGGAAATTTACTGTTTTCAACTACAACATTCAATAGTTGCAGTAGGGTCTGGGAACTGTGTTTTCCACAAAGTAACGTTTCCAGGCTCTGCACATTTTGCTGCAGCAGTGAACAAGAAGTCTTCCTTGATTTCCCTGCTGATAAAAAAAGAATGTAATTAGCTATGTCTAATATAAAATATGTTTGTAATTTTTAAAAAAATCGAGCTGTATGAGTGGGGAAACTACTTGAGATCTGTTTTTTTTTAAAGGTACATCTTGTACTTGGTCTCCCAGTATATAATTGTATGATTTATTTTCTTTTTTACTGATCTAGGTTGTACGTTTTAACATTCCATTTGTGTAAAATATGTACAATGACGTTAATAAATTTTTTGAAGCACACTTTTGATTACATCTGGCTGTATTCTTAGCTTTCGAGATACAAACAGGAAACTGAACTTGGTTAAAGTGTTGGCTCAGAACAGTACTGTGGTGATAAAGTGGTTTTTCTCTTGTGCTTAACCCTTTTCACTGAGTTAGAAAATATTTGAAACAATGAAATGCATGTTTGCTTTCTGACCTTTGCCTTCCACGACCAAGGTCAGAAAGCTACTACTTTCCAGAGAGGTGGCTATATCTGTTTTGTTCTTGTTGTGTGCTCTCAAGTTGTTTCTGAGGATGCTTCCAGACAGCACTAAATCACAGGTTTTAAAAAGGGGCAGAAAATTCCAGGATTTCAGATGAAGTCCACACCCAGACCTGTTGGTCCCGGGACTTCTCCCTCCATTGTCCAGACTTTACACTTTGTTGCGAACATTTAGAGGCTCCCAAGATGGCCGCCGCAAGTCTTTCGCCGGAAACTTTGCCTTAAAAAAAAACAACCTCGAGATACGAGTATGCGGATATGTGGAGAATCACTGCAAAACTTCTGTTCTTTGTCCTGGACAGAGAAACTGTGCCCTCCACATGTTTCATGGAGTTTCTGGCACAAAAACAAAATGTCACCTTCTTTTTAGGAGCTGACCAATCGGGAACAAACATCTAAAACCTGGGAACAAACCCAGATAAAAAAATTGTGATTTGTGATTACAGGGACATACAGACATGCAAAGATCCGCATATGTGGCTCAAACCACGATACTCCCACACCTGGAAATTTTGCATTTTTACCTTTTGTAGCAATTGATTCTGCGTTTTCAGGGAACAGCATCTGGCCACCTTCCTGTTTGCTGCGGAAGCTTCTGGGATAAAGGTACCTGGACGGGCCCTGATTTAGGGTTGCCATATCTTGGGTTTTTCTTGGCAGGATTAATTCAGATGGGCCTCTGTGGCCGAGTGGGATTCAAACTCTGTTTTCCCAGAGTCCTAGTCCAGGACTCAAAGCATTATACTATACGGACTGTCTGCTCAACTGTAAATCCCACTGTTGAGTTCACTTTTCTCTCTGGAATTAGTGTGTTTCAGAATGCAGCCTAATCTGGGATTAAGGCCTGAGATTCAATTCCCAATATCTGTAGGGATCTTAATAGAGCTGGGAACACAGAGCTGGTGCTGCTTAGAACAGGCAGAGAGAGGTCCACAGTGCCGACCAATAGCCTAGCTGTATAAAGCAGATGCTATCTTCCAATTTTTTTCCTCTTGAAATGTCCTAACCAAGAGTCCTGTTCTATTTAATGGTTAAAGTAATATAGTGCTGATGACAGCTAACAAAAGTTGAAAACAAAAAAAAGTTAAATAATTAAAATAAAGAAAGACACCTTAAACACATGAATATAAAACAAACAGCATCTGCTATTTTAAAATGTGTTCTTTTCCAGTTTGTGCTAACTTTAACTTCTTGACCCAGGTCTCTTGTTGAGGAGTAAGGGCTGTGTGACTGATTCAGAAGGAAATCATATTGAAGAGTGGAGATTTGTGATGACTATTTGGTCATCTCTAGTCAAATCAAATCATCTTTGCCTCCGATTTTCTCTTTTCCTATTGTTTGCATAAAGAAACGTCCTTGAAGAAGACATTCTGTTGAGAAGCCTTGAATAGGAACAAAGCCATTGCTTAGGATGCACTTCTTATGTTATCTTTCAATGTGGGAAAACACAGAGGGACTTGGGTTCAAATCACCACTTAGTCATATATGTCACTGGTGGAAAAGGAACTGTTAATGTCATAAAATATGGAACATTCAGCTTCACCACCTTAGAATAAAGATAATTGAGAAAACCAGGTGAAATTACATGTTCATGTTTAAATGATACAAAGGTGTATTATACTTTTTATAGAGTCCCAGTTGTTTAATAGGTGTATGTGTGTATATGTGCAGAAACTTTTTAGAACTCTTCTAATCGAGGAGCATATGAGAGGCTTGGCCTGTCATTGCACATTGAGAAAACCAAAGTGCTCTTCCAACAGTAACCAACCAACCCATCTGCAATGCCAGAAATACAGCTTAATGGTGTAACATTAGAAAATGTTGACCATTTTTCCACTACCTTGGCAGCCACCTCTCCACAAAAGTCAACATTGACACTGAAATACAACACCGCCTGAGCTCTGTGAGTGCAGCATTTTTCTGAATGAAGCAGAGAGTTTGAGGATCGGGACATCCGTAGGGATACCAAGGTGCTTGTTTATAAAGCTGTTGTCCTCCCAACCCTGCTATATATCTGTGAAATGTGGACTATCTACAGACATCCTGGAATGATTCCATCAGAGTTGCCTCTGAAAAATTCTGCAAATCTCTTGGGAGGACAGGTGGACAAATGTCACCATGCTGGAAGAAGCAAAGACCACCAGCATTGAAGCGCTGCTCCTCCGCCATCAACTCCGCTGGACCGGCCACATCCGAATGCCCGATCACCTTCTCCCAAAGCAGTTGCTCTACTGCAAACTCAAGAATGGAAAACGGAATGTTGGAGGACAGGAAAATAGATTTAAAGATGGACTCAAAGCCAACCTTAAAAACTGTGGCATAGACACCGAGAACTGGGAAGTCCTGGCCCTTGAGCGCTCTAGCTGAAGGTCATCTGTGACCAGCAGTGCTGTTGAATTTGAAGAGGCACAAATGGAGGGCGAAAGAGAGAAACGTGCCAAGAGGAAGGCACGTCAATCCAACCTCAACCAGCACCGCCTTCCACCTGGAAACCGATAACCTCACTGTGGGATAACATGCGGGTCAAGAATAGGACTTCACAGTCACCTATATATCCACCGCCAGGACAGTCTTACTTGGACAACAAGGGGTCGTCTAAGTAAGCAAGTAAAACAGGAGCAGAAATTATGCTGCCCTTTACATGTTCTAGGAGTGCAACACCTAGCAACTTCAGTCAGGACTGTCTGTGGTAGGCAATATTGGGAGTTGCAGTTCAACAACATCAGGGCAATTGTACAGTTCCTGTCCTTACTCTAGTCACAACTTTTCAGATAATGTTGCAGGAAAACCTAGTGAAACTCATTATTCTCCAGAATTGATGGTTGCGGGTTCAAAGATCTTCAAAAAGGAAAGCTTTTCTTTTAAATTTGGTATGGCAATCTTGCACTCTTCCAACCTGAAGGGCATTTTACAGCATTTCTTACCTCTGGCTGTGCTGGCTTGGATGTTTGGGACTTGCAATCCAGTGGTATCTGGAGAGTTGCATGATTCCAACTTCTGACGTTTCTGACATCTGCTCAATCTTTTGCAGATGCTTGTTCCCAACAACTGCCATTATGGGAGATCGTTTGCCATCCTTTGCCGGTTATGCTTCCAAGCTGGTTACGACTGCAATGAAGTTGAAGCTTTACTATGAGTATTCTTGGTTTATTAAAATAGCCCCATTTTTGACTTGGCAGAAGGACAACAGATGGAAATTATTCCAGTCTAGAAGGTACAGAGGTTCATGTGCGGAATTTAAATGAACACCTGTTGTCTTTGTTCTGAACCTGACTCCATCTCACTGCTATGTATTGGCTCTGCCTTCAATTACCAGAGTTGTGCTTCATTGGCTTTGAGTTAATGTAGTATACGTGCCTGCATTGGACTGGCAGGGACATTACATTCCTAATCCTAGCAATGGAGCATGGCCTATGGCCTGAATACAATCTGTATAGAACAAGAAGACTGCTGTCTTCGGGCTTCAAAACAGGACTGGGTTAATCATTATGCTCAAAGTGGCCCAGAGCAGAAGCTTCCTGCCTTTCATTTCAACCATTAGGAAGGGAAGCCCAGCCACCTGTCCATCAAGGCATGCGGTGTCATGGGAGGACCTTGAGTCCACATCATACCTTTCAGTTGAGAGATGGTACAAGGCAAATCACCAGCATCAAGGTATACATGGAGTATCTGTGTAATAAAATAATTGTATTGCAGCAGGTGCCAAGGATGTGGCTATGAAGAAGGAGGTTAAATGAAGGCATATTTCCCCAAAATTATAATTCCCCCCTTCTATTAAATGCCCCTTCTGTTTCCAAATTTCTTGTAATAATTTAAAATTTCAGTTGAGTATTTATACAATTTACACATCCAGAATGGGATCAGCAAAGTTATCAAAGGAATGTGAACACAGAAAACCTAAAAATTCTAGGGGTGAATGATTTTCAGTATCTCTCTGCAGTGCTAGAAGTTTGGGGACTTGAATGTACATTCCATTGTCTGGAAGGATTCTTATTTGATGGATAACACCCCTTCCCACCCCCTCTCCCCCTGACCCGCACATAGCTATAATCCTGACATGTATGCAATATGAGTTCTCCAGTCTTTGCCGTCTCTTCCAAGTAATCTGGTTGCAAACCACAATAACCATCCTGAGCTTGTAAAGTCATCCTTCCCACAAATTGGGACTACTACTTTAAGCATCCAGTGATGGCTTAAAGGCCACCTTTCCATGACTCCCGAATTATCCAACTAGGTATTTATTATTTATTATTTATTTACAACATTTATATGAAGCCCTTCTCACCCCAAAGGGGACTCAGAGCAGCTTACAATATATATATATATATATATATATATATATATATATATATATATATATATATATATATACATACACATACATACACACACACACACACACACACACACATACATACACACACACACACACATACAATATATTATATTATTAGCATAGTACAATATCAGTATTGTACTATGTCCAATACTGATATTGTACTATGTCCAATACTGATATTGTACTATATACAATACTGATATTGTACTATATTGTACTATTGTACAATATCAATATCAGCATAATATAATATCAGTATTACTATATTGTACTATACCACTATATTACTATATTGTACTATACCGGGGAGTCCCCGGTGGCTCAGTGGGTTAAAGCGCTGAGCTGCTGAGCTTGTTGACCGAAAGGTCACAGGTTCGAATCTGGGGARCGGCATGAGCTYCCACTGTCAGTCCCAGC